AGATGAACTTTAGAAACTTTTTCTGGGATAAGGTAATGGACTTCTTCCCTCAACACATTGGCGCACCACAAGGTAACGTCTTAAGTCCAATTCTCTATTCGCTATACACCTCTGCTATTCCTGAGCACCCTAACACCACCATATATTGTTCCGCTGACGACACTGCAATTCTTACTTCTCACGAAAATCCTACTATCGCATAAATTGCTCTTCAAAACCACCTCTGTGATGTTCAAAACTGGTTCCAAAAATGTAAAATTAAAATTAACTACAACAAATCCACCCACGTGGCTTTCTCTCTTAGGAAAGCATCATGTCCACCCACAATATTAACTTTTAGATATCATTCTACTTTTAGCTAAAAATTAAGACAAACTTCTCAATAATTTTTATTTTATATCATTGTTTCTAATTTAATTATGGAGGTCGGGTCGCCATTCTGTGTAGTATATGGAGCACTAAATCCTTAATAATTTTCATGTGAATCGGTGCAACTGTTCTGAATGTATCACAATTTTTGTGTTTGTCAAAAAAATTTCGTGCAGATAATATTAACTCTTTCGATTGCTTTAATAATTTTCTGAGGTGTGAGATACAAGGTCAGTTTAAAAAAAAAATATACTATATTTGGCAGATAGCTATACAATGGGAGCAATTTGGACTAACCGATGTAGCAATATGGGAGTAAATATATTTTAAAAAAAAAAACAAAGTTGCTTTTCGAAAAAAAAAAATCGCAAAGAAACTCTTGTACGGAAATTTTAAATTTATGGTTTCAAAAAAAAAATTAGCAAAAGGAAAAAAAAAACGAATTCATAACGAAAATTTACTTCGTCTACTTTACTAGAAACGCCTATTTTTGTAACTTGGGACTTTATAACTCATTTAATATCATATTTAATATTTTTTCTTATTCATCACGAACAAATAAATCGATTGGTATATAATACCCTAAAAATCTGGGCTAAACAAAAGCAGAAATAAATAACATAATTTTGTTTGAAATTACATAAATTATTTTTTTCTCGACTCCTAAATAGATCAATGACATAAACACCGGAATATGTGTCTCATATTTTTCGATATAGTTGAAATCGGTGATCCACTGATTGTTAACTTAAGAGGAACGAAAAAAAATACGAATTAAAAAGAATTTTTATTATATTTTTTTGGAAATATGGATAAGCTTAGATAAATTTTATATATACTTAGATTCACTAGCGGATCCAGGATTTAATTTTGGGGTGGCTTCAGCCCGAAACCTTTTTTTTTTCATAAAAATAACGATAATTACTTTGGAAAAACAGAAAGAAACTAACTACCTATATGAAATGGTGTTTAAGTTATTCCTTAAGTACTTTTAAATGTAATTACACGAACAATAATACTTTAAGAGGTATTTTTAAATATTTTTTTCCATAAAACATGATTACATTTTTCCATTTTGGGGGGGCTTCAACCCGAAAGCCCACCCCCCCGTAGATCCGACCGTGCCAGCGTGGTATCTTGCTTACTATTCAGGCATTCATTGTTGTGTAGAGGCTCCGAGCTACATGTCCAGGCAATCATAACCTCCTTGCCTCCTTATCATGAGATATTTATTGTCCAGTTTTTGTTTGTAGTTCGGTTATCGTGTGGAGGATTTTTCTCTCAATTTCTTCTTTCTAGAGTGCTAGTTAGTGTCTCAGATCTCGTAGCCATATTTATCATTTTAAAACCTTAATTTGAGATAAATAGAATTTTTTGGCGATTTAAATACGTTTGAAAGGGAGAAAAAATCTCCGTTTGCATTTATAATACGCTGATCTATTTTTGTTTTTCCATAAAACATGATTACATTTTTCCATTTTGTGGGGGGCTTCAGCCCGAAAGCCCCCCCCCCCACCCCGTAGATCCGCCCGTGCTTAGATTCATGTAAAATATATTATTAGAAAAATTTCGGATCGTAAAGTGGGGAAGTAGCCTAGTTCGAATTATAGAACGTTTTCTCCCCTATGTTGTTGGTAAATGGATTTCGAGTTATGGAGTGTATCAAAATACAGCGTTTTTTTCAATTTACCTAAGTTAACAGCTGAAGAGTTTGAATTATCGGAAAATTCAAATTATCGAGAGTCGACTATATATATATATGCAATATCTTTACAATTATTTTTTTAGTAGAAACATTAATTATAGAGAAACCAGTGTGAAGATAAGTTCTGTTATGCTATATTAAAATTTATTTTTAACAGGGCAAAAGAATTTTTTTTTAAACGACCGCCTATTCTGAGTATACCTGTTGAAAAATATATTTCTAAAACCCGTTTTGTACTTCTTAAGAAATTATCCATTCTCAAATTTATAATGAAAGCATCATTTTCGTTATTTCTATTTTTAGACAGCCTAGAAATAACAGGAATAGAAACAGTCCTTTGTTATATAATGTAAGACACCCAATAATACTCCCACAAAAGAAAGACTTCACAAAACTATTTTTAGACCATTACAGAACTTATCTTCAGATAGATTTACTATAATTAATGTTTCTTATAAAAAAAAAATACTGAAAATTTTATCTTAAATTTAAAGTTGTTACCTAGGACTCCACCTGGACAAACGTCTAACTTGGGATCCTCATACCAGACTGAAACGACAAGAAACAGCTCGACCTCTCCGAACTACTTCAACACTTACTAGACAAACGCTCTAACCTTCCAATTAATTACAAAAGACTCATTTGCATGACTATAATAAGGCCTATTTGGACTTACGGAGTTGAGCTATGGGGCTCCACCAAACCTTAAAATTCCTCTCGTATCCAGTCCCTACAATCCAAAATCCTTCGTAAAATCCTCAATGCTCCTTATTTTGTTACAAATAAAATCATCCATAATGACCTTAATGTTCCTTATATATCAGATTTGGTCTAATCCAGATATCTATCCTTTCAGAATAAACTTCATAACCACCCCAACCCTCTTTTTTCTAACCTTGCTTCCTATTCAATTCCTGATAACCCCCCGAGGCGTCTAAAAAGAAGATGGCCACGCGATCTCCTGATATAGATATATTATTTGAGTGCTACCAATGGGTTGTTTCTCAACATGTTTTTCATGTCATTATATCCATGTGCGAATTTACCAGATGTATTTTTTTTTATACATTTGTAAATATCATATAAATAAAAAAAAAATTCTAAAATGGGTCTTTAAATGATACAAATAACCTTATTACTCATAATTAGTACTATGTCTAAGGAATTTAATAAGAAAACTAAAATACCCTGTCCATCTTGTGTAATAAAAATTCTTAAACTGATTTAGAAAAATCTTAATTTGTAATGGAAAATACTAAATTTGGTTTGCGAAAATCCCAATTTGGTTTGGAATGATCTAAATTTGATTTGAAAAAAATATCAATTTCGTTTAGAAATTTTATATATAAAAAATCGGGCAGAAGCTATAGTAATCTACTTGGTTGAGTTTTTAAAAATATTTTCGAATATTTAATAGTTGACCGTTGCATTATAAAGGAAGGAAATGGTCCGGAATGCCGGTCATAAATAGGCTAAATAGTGATCAAAATATTTTTAATAAAAGCCAACGTTTCGACCCGACTTTGCAGGTCTTCTTCAGGGGTAGAACGGACAAGATACAAAAAGATATAGAGAATTGTGGAAGTTACATAATATTTAGACAAAAATTATAAACAATGTGAATAAGCTCATTAAAATTATATACAGTAAGTACATTAAAATATAAACAGAGTAAGCTAAGTAACAATATCCTAAACTGAATTAAATAGATGCTAACAATTGTTGTAGTGTATTATATAATATATGCAAATGTGTCCTTTTTCCTTTTCTTTCAATCTCTCCTGTAGATTTGTAGAAGTATTTTCACATCTTTTTGATCTTGTCCGTACTAACCCTGAAGAAGACCCACAAAGTCGGATCGAAACGTTGGCTTTTAATAACAATAGGTTTATCTCCTTTCTTACATAAAGAATTCTCCACATCATAAGAAAAGATCTTATCCCCAGATGTCAAAAGTATGACCAGTCATTAACCATAAAACATCTTTTGGAAGAATGCCCTTTTCACACCGCAAGGTTAAAAGATCTTGGAATACCCCAGAATATTTCAGCATCCCTGGGAAATCAAGAAGAAATGGTTACCACATCAAGTTCCTAGATAATGAAAGACTTAAACAACATATATGACAAGTTTATAAATTATGACCCTTTGCAGATTTATTATTATTTTTTTTTTATTTATCTATTTTCTTTATCTATTTACTTTATTTCATTTTATTCTCTTATTTTAAAAGTTCATTTGGTTATTAATTTCAACTCATTTATTGATTTTATTTTTTTAAAGTTTATTTATTTATCTATTCTATCTTATTATATATAAGTGTCTATTATTATTTTTATTTATTTATTTCATTCTATCAATTCTTTTATTTAATTATGTTATTTGGTTATTTATTTATTTAGTTATTAGTTATAGTTAGTTAGTTATTTAGTTGTTTATTTAATTATGTTAATTTTATTTATTTATTTCTTTCTATCAATCCTTTCATTTAATTATTTTTACCTTTTTTTTATTCTTATTTTTTGGACCAACAATCCAAACAGTATAAAAGTAGTGTTATTTAGTTGATCGTGCGCTGATGATCTGGATGTTTTGCGCCTAGACATCGAAACAAACAAACAATAAAGAATTCTTTAATTGAGACAATTCCTAAACAAACTATTCTATAACCATATAAAGTTATTGCAGTATCGAATAGTATCTCACTGAGTATCAACCACAAACTACAAAAGAAAAAAAAATCGTGTTAAGGCCGAACGGTCATCTATAGTTTATTTATGTTGAGGATGCCTCATCCGATTTCTCCGAAATGGTTCGACAGTGACCTCTCCAATACCCTCGACGACGTCCAGAGGAAGAGATAAAACACTAGCCAGGATCTACTGGGAGGAACAGAAATAGAGAGATATATTGTGACGGTGGTAGGAGGGGTATCTTCGCACCGTTGAGGATCAGTCTCCAATCGTACGCACTAGCAGCAGGATCTGAGAGTGGGGTCTTCTTCAGCCACAGTTGAGCAAGCGTCGTCTTTCAGAAACAACATCAGGTAATAACATCATCATCATCATCATATATTACATAATAAATAAATATATCAATGTTTTAAAAAATATATATAAATTTTGACCGGTGCTTACAGTAGTTCAAATACCAATTATAACAATTTTATCACTGATTAATAAATTAATAAAATTATTTTCTTATTTTTAATATTTCATTTGTTTATCAAGCATTACTTTCTTTCATGATTTTTTAAAATATACTTTGACATGTTCATTTTTTTTATTCAATTTAAAAATTTTCTCTTTAAAAAATACTCAATATTTTTGGCTATAGAGGACATGTATTTTTATTGTTTTAGTATTTCGAATTTCACGTTTTAAATAAATTATCTCATTTTATTGAATTCCTTTATAATTTTCTTTTATTTTTATTGAATTAAATATTGTTTTCTTCTATTTATTGGTATTCTATTAAACCTCGAGTTAATTCAATGGAATTTTTTTCTCTTATTTTCAAACTTTTATTTGGTTATCAACCATTATTTTCTTCCATGATGTTTTAAAATATACTTTGACATCTTCATTTTTTTATTCAATTTGAAAATTTCCTCTTTGATAAATATTCAATATTTTTGGCTAAAGAAGGCATGTATTTTTATTGCTTTGCTGTTTCAAATTTCATGTTTAAAATTAATTATCTCATTTTATTGAATTCCTTTATTTTTATTTTTTTTTTTTTTTATTAAATTAAATATTTTTTTATTCTATTTATTGGTATTCTATTAACCTCGAGTTAATTAAATGTACTTTTTTTCTCTTATTTTCAAACTTTTATTTGGTTATCATCAATTTTTTCTTACATGAATTTAAGGTTCTTTCCTTTCATATATTTCGTTTATAGTTCAAATTGAATTTGTTTTCTTCTTTATTAAATACTAGGAGGATATCCCCCTGTCCGCCTAACGGAGGAACAACCCCCATTTTACAAATTAAGCAACTGTTCATTTAATAGTTGCTCAAATTATATAACTGTAACTTAAATGCGTTCTGTAGTTTATATTTTATTATTTGTCATCAACATTAAATTAACGGAAATTAATAGAAATTTATTTCTTTAAATATCTATATTATACATCACGCCTTATTGCCAATTTATATTATTATAAAATTATGATTATTCTTATTGCAAATGTGTGACCATAATAAGAGAGAAAGAATTTTAGCAATAAGAAGTGCAGTATCTTTGTTACGATTTGGCCCGCTGATGACTTCGTTACGGTCCGTCCAACTTAATATATTGAATGTAAAATAAATAAAAAAACCGTTTTTAAATAAAAAAGAGATTAAATAATATTTGATACATTTTTCTTTATTATTTGTGTTAGGTATCAGACAGCCTGAATCTAGTTTTATTGTCTTATTTTTTCAAGTTTTATATTTTAAATTCATTTTCTAATTTATTGAATTTCCGTATTATTTAATTTTATTTGTATTATATTATTTTTTATTTATTTTTTTATTTTTTATTTAAATGTATTTTTTTTCTTATTTTCAAACCTTTATTTGGTTACGAAATAATTATCAAAAAATTATTTTCTTATAAGAATTTCAGTTTATATTCTTTCACATCTTTCGTTTATAATTCGAATTGAAATTTTCCTCTTAAATAAATGTTAACTACTATTCGGGTTGTTTAATTTTATTTTTTCTATTTTATTTATACTAGATTGTAGACAGTATATAATTATTTTGATTGCTTCATATTTTTTTAAATATCTGGTTTATTTATTTTTTCTCGTTAGATTAAAAAGAAATGATTGATCCGTATGTTTTATTATTAATTTTTTTATTAACGTTTTTCGTTGATCAGGTATTGATATTTTATATTAATCATATATAATAAATAATTTACAAATGATACATAACTAATAACGAATAGAAAATACTTCAAATGTAATAATATATATTTTTCTGTATTTTGTGACTCAGACCAATTTCCATTACTTTTAGCACAACATGTTTAAGACAACCACCGAATAATTTGAGCCACAATACTTTAAATCAATCCAGCCGTTCGTTCAAAAACATTTGGTATGCCAATAAAATTATTTTATATATTTATTCGTCCCTCTGTTGCCTTTCGATTACAAAGGTTTTGCAAGGATGATATATCACACAACCATGTGTATGCCATCCCAGCTGTTAAACATACATGATTATTAAACTTCTCAAAAAAACATTCTCCTCTCATTCGGGTCTTCAGATAAAAAATAGTTTCGCCACCCTTACGGACTTCCAGGAGTTGGCCCTCTTCTTCCCAGATTGAAGTACGCTGAACTGTTTTTTGCTCTGTCACTAGTTGAGTAAACTATGTCTCTTAAGGGCATAAAGTCCGGTTTTCCCCGTCATTCTGGCCCTTATACATAAAGACATAACCCTCCTCGTGCATTCTTTAAAAAACAAATTTGGAATCATATTATTTATTTTCCAGTTTGGTAAACATAAATCTATGGTATACAAAATTAAACTAATATTCTCAAGGTTTATTAGGTTTTAAACAAATTAATTTGTACCCAAAATAGTGTGGTAAATGAAAGTTGAGTGCGATGAATTAATGGAAGTGTGATTATTCACACCATTTTTGTATCAATAATTAGTGTGGCACCAATTGTTTTTCGTTATATTCATCATTACATTTAATAATGTGATAATCTTGAGAACATTATTTTAAAAAGCAATATCTTTAATTTTTTTTTTTAATTGGTCTGATTATTCTTATTTTTATATTATTTATTGCTATAAATAATTTTAATCAAAATAAAAGAAGAATTGTATTCCTTTTATCTTTTGATAAAAAATTAAAATTAATTTCCTTGGTAAGTGAAGTAAATTAAGTTAACATCATTAAATCAGCTTGAATCAGTGCAGATGCACTATTATATAACGAGCTATTAAATATTCATGTTATCAGTGTTAATTATAATCGATAACTATGGGTTGCTTGCATATCGATTCTTTCTATTACAAATCTTGAATGATGCAAAATTGAAACATTATAAGATAAATAACATAATATAATAAATTAGGAATATGTAGAGTGTTCTATTTACTGATTTTATGATTTCAAATTATAGGTGATTTATCAATTGATTAATTATTTTTATAATTGAAGATATTATTTATGAATATGAATACACAATGTATCTTCATTTTTATACCGTACCCATATCTGGTTAGGGTGTTGCCAATTGACGTTTAAATTATGTTTTATCCTTAATTCTGCATCAGATTTTTCGATTATTCAGTCTAACTTTATTTTTAAATTCAGGTCATTTGGATCAAACACTGATCTATTCTTGATCTAAATCGCAATGACATCATGTGATACTGATTCACCAAACGCTGGGCTCTTGCGAAACAGTTTATGAAAAGTCTTCTGAGTGAATTATCATAATGAATTTAATTTACAATTTAATGAGATGTTCACTTTATATTGTGATGATTTTATGATGATTCGATCATAAATGATACAGTTCATACTTATAATCGTTTGTGTTTTTTATTGATATTCTATAGAATTTATATTTGATTTTATACTGAAAACTGAAGCTCCTTGGTTCCTAAACAACACAATTTTACATATCGACTTACAATAACCAACATACATATTCTGTTATCCTATTTTGGTAACAAACTTCTCGGACATAACATCAGACTGATAAATTGACGCATTGACCCATTAGAAGGCGACTGAAAAAGAGTTGGATAAGAAATCTCCATGCCTATCATTTTTGTAGTGAAAACGCCTTTAGGCGGTTTTTGCACTTTTTTGTGGACAATGAATTAGATTGTGGCGTCAAATTTCTGATTTCTAACGCTCGGGTAAAGTAGTCTGGAGTCTAGTGATTGAAGTGTTTTTGCATATGAACTAAAATATCTAAAAAAAATAAAAATCGGACATGTATATTTTAAGCGATGGAATTTTTCATCCTCTTTAAATGAGCTATTATTCATAATTTATATTTCATATTAATAATCTCGGTTTGTTGGTTTTTTCACTTCTATCGTGTGGTGTGAAGCACACATCTTAGTTTTTTTTTATTTGCTGATTGTCACTCCTATTTATGACATGTCCGAGTAAAAACATGAGGTCAAAAAATAGTTTTACTTTATTTTCCAAAGTCAATTATATTTTTAATTTATTTCCTATTAATTCCGTAGACCATACAGATCTTTTCCCACCCATAGCCAGCCCCATCTCTTCCTACCTTGGGCTATTTCTTTCCAGTTGTCTGCATGCAGCTCAACAGAATATTTTCCGGCTGATCCTTCATATTGTTTCAAGCCTTACGCACTTTTGCTTGGTACTGAGGCCTCCGTTGATGTGTAGAGATCCCTGATAGATTGCGCTGCGCAACATTTCCCGCCCAACTCAACTTCCGTGTGTTCATATCATGAGATATGAATATGATGGACCAGTTTCTTTAAGCAGTTTTTTATTGTTCCTTCTCCTCCATTCGTTGGTACTCTATCAAATATTGTATACCTTGTATACAATTTTATATTTTGGATAATTTGTATATCAAAACCTTGTATACGGTGGACTGTCTGGTGGGCTTGAGATCAGATTAAAGAGGCTAATGAATTGTTTCATTAGATTTATACTTGGAGTCCACAGGCGCTCTCACGACTCTAGTTGCTATGCCGAGTTGAAGTGGCTCTATCTAGTTTTCCGACGGCAATATTTCCCAGGTGTATTCCTTTTCCAAACCTTTACAAACAAAAAACTTTCTTACCTTCTTGATTTCTTTACTCCTTGTTCATTCGTTCAACACTAGATCCCAATCCTCAAATTTGTTTATTCCTTCTCATAGAACTGTTTTCTTTAAAAAATCCCTCGTCATACGTGCTACCTCGTTTTGGAATTCCCTACCAACCTCTTTACGGAAACCCTCATCCTTGACCTCATTTAAACATAATTTATTTTTTCACCTCCTCAGTAATCCATCTTCAGAGATGTCAGTTACACTATACCGATATCTTG